CCGTCCCACAGTTCCTCCAGCATTTGTTGCTGGGGTTGTTCTTGGAGAAAAATTGTTGTTAGCAGCATCCAGGTTGTGCAGCTCCACTTTATACAGATATAACCAAATAAAAAATACCGTCTGTCTAAGCTGAAGCAAATATGCATTTGTCAGCAACAGGATGCTCTGCAGACTGCTCCCAGTTTCCCCGTTTGTCAAAAAAGGAGCGTTAAATGAAGCATCTTGTTTAGCTAACTGGCTAAACTCAGCTGGACTATTGCCAGAGCAAACACTGGCTTTTCCTCTTTCCTCCTCCCAGCCTCAGTCTGGAGGCTGAACCAAGTCTGCAGACATTTTAGATGCAAGCACAATTTGTAAGAACAAACGGTGTTATTTCATTCACAGTTCTGTCAGATAGCAGGGAAAACAAAAGGATGGCTTTAATGGGAAGTGGCGTTCGTATGAGAGCAGACGAGAAAAACAAGTTTTCACTAATTGGCTAAAGGTCAAGTTCAAACTCTTACTGTTTATTTAGCTCTATAATCTATAATATTTCCAAGGCTAGTGTCCATAGAAAATGCACTATGAGCCATATTCCTCAACCTCTTGTGATCTGAAAATACCAGGGTGTAAATATTTGGTCACATTACACAAAAAAGTGAGAAAATAATTAAATATGGTTCATCTGGACCTATGAGTCTGCATCTCTTCCTGTTGGTTTGAGGTCACCTTGCAGACATGTCTGTTCTCTAGAGGCTGCTGGATTTTGCTCCTTTACTAAATGTTTTATAAGACTGATCAAACATTTGCTTTACAATAATTTCTTAATTTGCTATGAAAATGTGCAGAAAAATGTCATTTACACTGAGGACATTTTAATAACACGAACAAAACAACGATACAGAACCCCAGAGGCTGAAGAACATGTGTGCGTTGGTACATTTTCCATCTAAAAGCTAAATAAAATTTAAATTCTGATCTGCCAGGGGTCAAAAACAGTCACGCATGAGAGAATATAACCCTATGTTTACCATTGAGCTTTAAAAAGGGACAGATTAATATATCAAACGCCAAATGCTTTAAAGTCTAATATTTTTTTCTGCTGGATGTGAACAAAATCTGAATTAAATACTTAATGAGAATGTACCATTTTGACCACATGACCTCTTTTCTTTCTTTTTGCAAAGTGCTCCAAAATGCACAAAACAGCTCGATATGCAAAACAGTTAGTTCAAATAGACTGAGTTTATCATTTAACTCTCAATTAAATCTTCACACTACACTGAAATCCAACAACCAGCCTTAAACGAGTCGGTGTCATCCTTCAGTTTGTTTAGAAATGTTAATATATCTTATTACACTCACAGGCCTCAAGCAGGTTTACTTTTCTTAGGCCAGCCTGATTACATAAACTAAATGTCTTCCTAATGTGTTCCCATGCACTCTCTGGGTTAATATCTGTCAGTTGAGAACTTTTCCTCTGGACAAATCGTCAATCATAACAAAGCAGGTGATGGTATTACCCAACTCTGAGTTATTCTGCCTGTTGTGCTTTCATTTGGGTTTGCCCGAGGCAAAACAGTCCTGAGCAGCTATTGAGAAGAAAAAACCACTTCATCAAACCACCATGGTGGTTCTGTCAAAAGGAGACCCAGTCAGATGTTATCATCCGGTTTCCAGCCATGAAGACAAACCAATCACCTGAAGCTCCGCCCTAAACAGGAAGCTACAGAAAGCCGCACACCGTCTGTGGAACGGGATCCATCAGTCTGCCAAAACTTCTTACTTAATCTTAGGGAAAACCAACTAAAAACAGCCAAAAAAGTCATGAAAATGTTTAGCTTTTTCATCCACAGCCTCACAAAGGCACTTAGGGACTCTAGCTGCGAATGCTCAGGTTTCTTTTCTTTCTTCTTTTTCTTTTAGTTAAAAACTTTAGGGACATGGACGAGTAGAGCAGTGTTTTTCAACCTTTTTTGAGCCAAGGTACAGTTTTTCATTGAAAAAATCCCGAGGCACACCACCAACCAAAAATGTTAAACAAATCTGTAGCCGCCTATAGTAACACTATAGTTATTCTTATTTTATTCTTATCTTACCTTAAGTGTCTTGAATAGGAATCAAATAAACAAAAAAAATGTATTTTTATCATATTTTATGTTTCTTCTTTCAAATTGCACTTAACATGTCCACTTCAATATGCAAAATTAAATACAAAATCTATTCATAAGGAATTATTACATGATTATGCCACCAGTCACTAGAACACTTTTACACTTTCATACACTCATGGAAACATCAGACTCTTCAAAACGTGGCCGGTAAAAGCAGGGAGTTGAACCCCCAACCTGCCTGTCTATTTTTGAGCTAAGCCCTTTCTAGTCCATAAGTGAAGAATGACTTTAGGTAGGTTATAAATGCAGTTTGCCATTCGCTGCTACGCCGATTCCTCAATCTACTTAACATCCATAAAACAGTGAGCTGTAAATGCGTTTCCTCTCTGGGTGAAGCCATGATGGGACCACCAGAACAGGCTGAATGAGAAGCATAAATCTGACTTTTTACCGACTTCTCAGTGGTTGGTTTATAGGCAGCAGAGTTCAAATGGTTCACACCTACCAAAACAAACCAAAACGAAGTAGAAACTGATCTATGTGACGGAAAAGAGGTCAGCCTCACCAGGAAAGTTTTAAACTGGGAAGAAATCAGGCCAGCTCCGAGTTCTCACCCAGAGAAATCTAAGTGATTACCGAGAACATGGTCAGCCACCACTTCTCATCCAAATTTGAACCCAACATCCTTCTGATTGAGCAACTAAAACAGAGTCAAGCTCAATTCAATTCAATTTTTATTTCTATTGCGCCACATCCCAACAACAGTCCTTTGAACGATTCCTTGGCCTGGCTGGGAAAAACCTCCGGATAGAGTAAATATACCCCATCTGGTTTTGTAGCTCCAAAAGAAAGAAAGTAAGTTCAATTCAATTTTATTTATATAGTCCCACGTCCCAACAACAGTTATCTCCCAGCTTTCTAAACAGAGCAGGTCAGACTCTGAGTTATATAAAGAAGAACAACGATTCCCACCAAGAGCAGCACTAGGTGACACAGGGAAGAAAAAACTTCCTTTTAAGAGGCAGAAACCTGGAGCAGAACCATGGCTCAGGGTGGGGGGGGGCATCTGGCTTGGTCGGTTGGGGGTGAGAGAGAGAGAGGGGAAGAAAGAAAGAGAGAGAGAGAGAGGCAGCCTACAAAGTAACACATAAACTGGAGGAAAAATGGCAGTAATATTGATACTAATCATAATGATAGCAGTAATAACAGCTTCCAGCCCGAATGAACGGCTGAGAAGTTACACAACATGAAACATGGACACCTTCTGTCCAGCTTCTGTCTGTGCTTTGGTTTGGCTCAGTAAGTAGCAAACAGTGGAAATAGTTTTAAAGCCTTCAGCCTCACACACGCTGACATTTTATACGAGCACAGTCAAACTCAAGCCGTCATATTTCGGGACTTTGTGGTGGCGTCTTTGTTTAGGAGGCAGTGACCCGTTTCCAGTTTCCCTGGGGGACTTCTGGACTCCTACCAGGTGTGTGGACACAATTAAGTCAATTCTCAGGGGGGGGAAAAAGAACCCGGGAACTGGGCGACTTCACCTCCACCTCTCAGTTCTCAGCCTCAAAAGTTCTAGGTCAGTGGTGGCTTTTCCAAAGATTTGAAATGGCTCTCCGGGGAGTTTCCAGCAGCTAAATTAGCCAGTGATGGTGCCTGGCACTCCAGAGGAGCTTCTTAAATTGAGTTAATGAAATGTGCAGGAGCATTAGTGTGGAAAAAAAAAAACACACCCACACTTCTCAGGCAAGTAAACAGCGATTCAAGCACGCCTGAGTGGACATTTGGGCATTTTTACTTTGATTATTTTCAGCCTGAATACAGAATAACAACCCCAGGTTATGGCAAAGGCCTAAAGCTGCAGTTTCAGATGAAATTGCCTTTTTTTATCCAAGCATCCCAAAGCAGCTACCACCAGAAAAGGTGTTCAGACAGAGTCCGGCGAGTGTCGGCACTTGCTTTTTATGAGTTCTGACTTTTCCAGCTTCAGGTAAGCAGCTTTAATTTGGATCAGTGGTTCATCACATGCAATCAAAATCTACATTAAAGTCAAATAACTGACTTTCAAACCAAGACAGAAAAGTGGGAGGTGGAGATTTTGTTAAAATATCGACAATAAGGGTAGAACTTAAAAGTTTAAGCACCATATGGGTCAATGATTAGCTTTAGTTTTAAATCAGGCAAGAGCTTGGTCTAACCCCCCCACACACGGTGAATCTTGATTTTGACCCCTGTTGATGTTAACCCGACAGTAATCAGAGCTCACAGGATGAGAAAGTCTAAAGCCACGTGGGCGAGCAAGTGTCGTGACTGAAATTCTCCCAGAACAAAACCCTGTTTGTGCGATTATTGTTCGGCAGGCTTGCAATGAGGCAGAAATCCATTCCACATGATGCATTCATTGTTTTCAGCCAAAACGTGCACAATGGCCCCCACCAGAAGCCAGCGGCTACCAAACCTAGAGGGCTCTCCTCAAAATATGTGGGACATTTACACATTTACACATTTACAGACACTTCCCTGCAGAGGAGATAAACACCACATTTAAAATGCTCCCAGTAAATGCATTCAGTTCCTGACTAACTTTGAGTCCAGGGAAGAGGAGAAACACATCACACACTGGCGCAGATGTACGTTTTTTGGGGAGTTTTTTTTTTTTGCGTCATCTTTCAACAGGTGACGAAGCAATTCCACAAGCTGCAGAGATGATCTGCACAATGAGAAACTACAGACCGGTACTGGATCTTCAGACATCAGACTAGCGCAGATGTACGTTTTTTTGGGAGGTTTTGGGTTTTTTTTGGCGTCATCTTTTTTTTGCGTCATCTTTCAACAGGTGACGAAGCAATTCCACAAGCTGCAGAGATGATCTGCACAATGAGAAACTACATTGTGGCCGCTGGGACTCACCTCTATCCAGGTTTGCGCCTCCCGGGACGCGCAGTCTGCGGCAGAAAGGCTGGCGGAGTGGTGCTGATGAGACTGACCGGCGTCTGTCGCCGGACTGGCCATGGGGGAAGATCCGCCTCCGGGGGGCCCAAAAGCTGCAGGGACGTGCGGGGGAAGCCGCGGTAATCCACCGGAACCGGTCGTCGGCCGGTTTTGCGTGCGTCGGCGGTCGGTGTGGCAGCGACACGCACGGCTGCTGCTGCCTCCACGCACCGCTCCTGCTGAGGTCTGTGGATAGAAAGCCAGAGTCAAGCAGCACGCTTTGAAACAGACCACTTCCGGGAAGAGCCCCGGAATTAAAGGCTCAACAGCCACCTTCATTACGACAAACGGGCAAACGTCGACACTCTTTAGGGGCTTGTTTGCTCCCTGAACAATGTCTAAAGGACAAATTAGCTGTTGTTTTAGTTTGTGGTTACTTAGCAGCCGTTACATCTCGATAATTTCTAACATTGACAGCAAAAAGCAGCAGAAGAAGAAAGTCTGTGCTCGTGAGAGGCGACGCTAGCTATAGTTAAACATCCATTTTAACAGCTCTGTGCTCTCGTTTATTGTTGCGTTTATTAATTTAATTATTAAAACTTCATTTGCACCGCTCAAAAAGATGCAAAACATTTCTACTGCCAGCACGTGATAAACCTAACGAGTTGTTAGGCGTGTTCAGACACGCGCGACCTGGTTACCGGAAGTGAATATTTTTCCGTTTGGATTGTGTTGCCGTGGCAACGCAGCGTTTATTGTTGAAGTGAGCCCGATATTTATTTATTTTCAAAACACAACTGCATTATTTAATTCACCTCCTTAATATTAAGGTCTGCTTCTGTTATTTTGTTAAAGGATAAAGTAGTAAAATAATTAGCTTGAGGCTGGTTAATGAAATTAGACACAATATTAGGTAATCACATACGCCCCCTGGTGGAATCCTGAACTAAGAAAAATGAACATTTCCCATTTCATTTATGGTGGGAATAGTAGGTTAGGATCCTTTGGTTTTCCATTATTGGATATCTTTTAATTCCACCTCAGGAAATGTATTTAAATGTGGAGGCAAATAACTAGTGACTGCTGACATGAGTGTTGCTGGTGGTGGAGGCGGCTAATGGGGGCTAATATTTGTAATGTTATGCACGCTTCCAGTAAAAATCATCCGGTTTTGTTTGCCTTAACATAGTTTGGGATTTGCACTCTGCAGTGTGCACAGCTCCAGTGGCCCAAAATACACAGTCAATGAGGGCAGCAGGACGCTAGGGATCTCACAGCCAGTTTCAATGACAGAAAGCAAAAGTCAGGGCAGTTTTTATACAGTTTAACATGAAAATAATCATAGCTGCCTGCTTTGTAATGCTTCATTCTTATTGTCCTTAAGTACCAGACATTGCATTTAATACGTGACATTTTTTATCTTTTTTATTCTTTTTTTTTAGCAGGAAAAGCAAAATATGTGTAAACAAAGTAAGTAACAAAATAAAACATTTCCACATCAGAGAAATAAAAGCGGCCCAAACACTGCAACCCTTGTTCTTTTAACTGGCTTGATGATGTGTTTTCCTGTGATGACCTCTTGTGGAACAAAGAGTCGGTACAGAAAAGTGGGTTGAGGAGCTTCAAAGTGTTTTTGCTCATTTTAGATATTCATTTTATGCCTACCCTCACTTCTGCTTATTTGAGTACCTTGTTTAAATTCTGATTTAATGGAATTTTATGATTCGCTCTACATTTCATTTCACATTGGATGCAGCGACAATCTAGTTTCTTCTGAAGCTTTTAAAAAGTCCCTTGACCCTTGACAGGGTTCTCTGGGTTGTGGGCGGTTGCTGCTAGGCAACGCCACAGAACTTTTTTGGTGATGTCACAGTGTCAGATGACATCAAACACACACTGTGACATCACTTCAACTTTATAGCTATATTCTGTTCAGAAGTCTGCATCACTAGACCTCACCGACCCTTCACTGGATCTGTAGGACACATTGGATTCTTTATCACTTTGCATTTCGATAAAGACGAGAACAACCATGGAAGATATACCAGACGAAAAACCACTCACTTTAGCTGAGATCATTAAAGATCAGTACGACTTTATCCTAAATCAGGAGAGACGCGTTTTTGAAAAGAAAATCTTGGATCTGCTGCTGGAAAACCAAGGACTCAAAAAGCAAGTGCAGAGCTCTCAGGAAAAAGCTGACGCAGCAAAAAAGAAGATGGATGAAACAATCAGGTTAAGAGAAAATGAAATGAAATGCTGGAATGAGCAAGAGTCAATGCTGAATAAGATAATAGGTCATTTGGAACCACTGGAGGGGGCTATAGTTCTAGTCAGAAATGAAAAAAAAGAGCTTCAACTCAAGTTAGAGGCCACTGAGTTCAATTACAAGGAAATGTTGGAAGAAACAAAGCAAAAGCATAAAGAGGATCTGTCAAAAGTGAGAAAGGAAGTAGAGGCGGAAAAAGACAAATTACAAAAAAAAGAGGAAGAATTCCAACACGACATAAAAGAACTGAAAGAGAAGGCAAAGAAAGACACAGATGAGATTAAGAAGGACCTTGAACAGAAACTAGAAGAGCAAAAAACACAAAAGTCCACACTGTCAAAGAGGATCAGAGCTTTGGAGAAACAGAGGATAGAGCTGGACGAAACTTTTCAAAAGGAGAAATTAGCACTTTCTGACCATGCTGCAGAGAAAGAAAAAGCAATCAGAGACTTGGAACAAATTGTAGAAAAACAGAAAATTGAAGTCAAAACTCTGAGAAGTAAGGATCTTCAGGGAACAGTTGCCAAGTTAAGATCCAGAAACTCAGAGTTGATCGCCACGATAAAAAACAAAAACATGGAACTTTCGGCTCAAAATAACAACATCAAGGACTTATTGAAAGATATAGAAGATTTGAAGTCAAAGCTGGGTTTGACTAATGTGAGTCTAGACATAGCACAAGAGGAAATAAAAAAGAAAGAAGAGCAAGAAGAGGAGTATTGCGAGGAAAAAGAGGCCATGCAAAACAAATATGCCACATTAAACACACAGTACAGCAAATTACTTGTGGAGTTGGGCTCCGCCAAAGCCCACATGCACGCCTCAGTTAATGAGACAGAGAAGCTGAAGATTAAGCTGGAACGGCACAATAACAAAACCCTGAACCTCCAGAAAGATCTGCACGAATGCATTGAAGTGTTAGGTCAGCCCACAGTTTTTTCTGTCAAGTTTAGGGATTTGGTTCATAGGCACATGACCGACAAGGATTTGTCCAAATACATCCATGCCGATCAGTGGTACCAGAGCAAGTCGAAAAAGGTCCAAGGCATGGTTGATAGGGCCCACGCGCACCACGTCCAGGAGAGGCAGCGAATGCAGGAGGCCATAGAAAACGTGGCCTTCACCTATTATAGCGGAGCTCAGCTGAGGGGCATGAACCAGGCCATTCTCCGAGAAGACGGTTTGCTGCAGAAAATCAAAGACCTAGAAGAAGAGATCATGAAGAAAGAAAAGATGTATGAGAAAGCCATGAACCCGTCCCACCTCAAGCTTTTTTCCTGGTGGAGGAAGAACGTTCTGCGAAATAGCGCCTTTCCACAGCGCCACCTAGTGGAAGAGGCAGATCCCTCCCCTCCGTCAGCTGAACAGGAAAGGCCTCCATCAGCCGCTCAGTCTGGGGAAGTCCCCGATGTGGAAATAATGAAACATGAAGAGCCTCAACCACAGGACGATTCACAGATCTTCCCTTCTCCTGCCACCAGTCCTCCATTAGACATTCCTTACCTGAACAACTTCTTTGCAGAGTTTGAAGATGGTTTACCAAGAGTTGACTAAAACTAAACAACTCAACCCGAACGTGGGATGATATGGAACAAGGCAAGACGTAAAGATACATTTCAGTTAAAAAAATGAACAATCAGAGAACACTTTGCGCACACACAGTTTTCCCAATCTCCATTTCTTACAAACAAATTGAGATTGGGAAGATTTATGAAAGGAACCGACCATCTTACATTTCTGCTTTAACAGTGTCCCAAACCAAAAAGCTTAATCTCACTGTCTCCCAAACTCTTATACTCAGTATTTCAATTCTAATGAGTGTTTCTTGACCCTCGGCCTCAGGGCCCACAGTCCTGCAAGTTTTCCAGCTCAGAAAAGCTCTCTCTGCTCCCTCTGTCCTTCTCTCGCCCTCCCTCTCTCTCTCTCTCTCTCTCTCTCTCTCTCGCCCTGTCTCTCTCTCTCTCTCTTGCCCTCTCTCTCTCTCACCCCCAACCGGCCGAGGCAGATGGCCGCCCACCCTGAGCCATGGTTCTGCTCGAGGTTTCTGCCTGTTAAAAGGAAGTTTTTCCTTGCCCGTGTCGCCTAGTGCTTGCCCATGGTGGGAATTGTTGGGTTTCTGTAGTTAACTTCAGAGTAGGGTCTGACCTGCTCTGTTTGGAAAGCGCTGTGAGACAACTGTTGTTGTGATGTGGGGCTATATAAATAAAATTGAATTGAATTGAACTTACTTCCACGACTGAACCATGAAGAATTTGAACCCTGATTACCAGGGTTAAGGATGGTTTGAATACCTGTTCTTTTTGCACATTGTCATGAATAAAATAAATGAATGCATTAAAAAAACAAGTGAAAATAGTTTTTTTGTTTGAGAATTCCTCTTTTTTTATTTGGATTTCATGTCAGGGGGTCAAACTCTCAGAATTTGGGATTGTAACAAGGTACATTTACACATAGTGCATGTTTATATCCAGCAATACCAACTGAGAGTAAAAACATGAATGAAGGAAGGACAAACCAGATCGTTTTAATAGTTGAAGTGAAGTGGTTGGCCTGATAACCTCCAGGGTTTCTTTAAACAAAGTTTTGAGTATGAAGGTGCAATATGTTTCAGAAAATGATCCGATTTGATCGATACAGCGTTAAAAGTTTGAAGAGCTCAATAAATTCTTCAAACATCTACCAGCAGGAAAAACAAAAGAAAATTAAAATACATAAACACATTTCAACTCAAATCAAACTTTATTTAGAAAGCACATTTAAAAAAAGCGGGGTTTACCAAAGTGCTGTACAGATATCACAGTTGCAGGAAATAAGGTAAAAACTAAAAAGCGAAAATACATTTTGATTATTAAACTGAAATAGAATAAAATAAGTTAAAATCTAAAAAATGTTTAAAAAAAATTGTTGCCAGATGTCTACTGAGACTTGATTAAAAGCCAGGGAAAAGAAGTGTCTTTTTTCCATAACAACGCTTTTCGAGAGACCTGTGTGTCAAACCGGTTTTGAATTTTTAATTAAAGGAATTTTGAACTACTTCGCGACCCGTACGCGCAAAACGTGACTGAGTGTGCGGCCTGTGATTGGCTCGTTTCAATCCTCGCGGGCTACTTGAACTGAGAGAAAGCAGAGTCCTTATATGTTTCAGAACAAATGGATCGTGGTTAGTTGTCTTGTCATCAGGTTAGTAAAACAAAAATAAAGAATAGATAAAAACATGGAAACTTAATCGTAATTTCCTCCGCTTTTAGACCGCCTGCCGACATCTGCACGTCTTGTTTTTTGCTGTTTTATCGCTGATAGTTCCAATCGTCGTTGCCATCTCAACTGTTTAGTTTTGATTGTGAACGAGTCTTTACGTCTAACCAACAGGTCGGAAACTAATGCAAGCCTCCACATAACTATCCGCTAACGACAACTCGTCACGGAAGAGGTTCGTGGTTATTCTTTTCAAAGACGAGCTTAGTTTTCCTTGCTAGCAAAGCAAGACTTCTGTGGCTTGAGAAGCATGTCGGCAGCTAACAGACAAGGAAGCGCGGAGAACATGCTTTCCCGGCTAAGAGGCTCCCTCAAAACCCGAGCTGCTGGCAACGAAAACCAGGAAAACCTTGCACCCAAACAAGCCGGAGGCCGGACGGTGCTGGGAGCCCTGCAGAACAACCAAAGGAGCAAAACCCAGAACCAACGCGGCGCAAAGCAGGTAACAAAGCTGCACGGCTCAAGCTAGCCACAGCTCGTCCCTCCGTGGAGCTTTCCCCTCCGTTTTGTTTGTTGTAATTAATGCGGGAGTGCATTGTGGAAATAGTCCGGTGTGGATAACGGGGCTCATGAGGCTTAAATATATATTTTTTTCACACTTAAAGGGTGCTGAATGACACCCGGGCTCTGGGCTCCCCGCTAGTCCGCCATTTTATTATCGCAGTCAACTTAATATGATTTGTACAGTGGGGGAAATAAGTATTTGACCTCTTGCTGATTTTGCAGGTTTGCCCACTTACAAAGAATGCAACGGTCTATAACTTTAATCATATGTACATTCTAACAGTGAAAGACAGAATCCCAAAGAAAATTCCAGAAAATCACATATGAATTTATAAAAATTGATAACCATCTGATGAGGAAAAATAAGCATTCTTTGTAAGTGGGCAAACCTGCAAAATCAGCAAGGGGTCAAATACTTGTTTCCCCCACTGTATATCCCTTTCTAATGTAGTGAAAGCCTTACTAAACATGTACGTCCACTCCTGCCATCAGTTTCTTTACCAAATCAGTCCCTCACATGTTGAATATTTAACATTTTCTATCTTCATGACAGGTGGTTTTCATCTGTACTGCTGAAATAACCTGGCAGACACAGTCCTCATTTGCTCTTTGTCTTCCTCTACATCTAGGAGTCCTCACAGCTCCCATCTTGTAAGAATGAAGACTTCAGCAAGAGCTGCTTTGACAAGCCGGCCACCAAACCGCCCGCTTTCCAAATCCACTTGGACGAGCCTGATGGCGCCTGCACCAAAAAGCAGTTGCCTGACACGTTAAAAGCGAAGCCCACCGCGGAGGAGAGCCTTCCCCTGGCCATCAGCAATGCGGTCGCACGCCTCCGGCAGCCCCTGGCCACCATCGATGTGCCCGCCGCCATGGACGTCAGCTTCGGTAGGCCGAACTGTCTCTTTCTTGCACGTCGGAACAGGCATTGTCAGGACCTGGTCTTTATCTATCAATCAATCAATCACTTTATTTTGGTAAATTGTCCACATTAAACACAAACGACAAAAGAAAAGAACAATAGACAAACCCACAGTTTACCAAAAAAGGAATAGGTCGAAGCAAAGCTTATTCTTGCCTACCCTACCCCTTTATCTGCTTAAGTCTAAATAAAATGTGTTCTTCAGATTCTCCCATGGACATGTCTGTGGCTGAGGGGGAGGAGAAGGCTGTCAACGTAAACGAGGTCCCAGAATATGCAGCTGAAATCCACACGTACTTAAGGGAGATGGAGGTGAGATGGGCCTGCTATCCTAACCCGTACCTCTGTCCCCCCCCCCACAACTCCTTCTGTGGTCCCCCCTTTCTCTTGCTGTCACCACTGACTCTGATCAGTTTTTCTCCTCTATATAGCTTATTGTCATAGTGATGAGAAATGTAATATTGTGTCTACTCTGTAAGTCGCTGTGGATAAAAACGTCTGCCAAATGCATAAACATAAACCTCGTGTCTGGTGGTTTTGAAGCTTTCTTTGGGATTAACACCTGATGTTGCCTCGCAGGTGAAAACCAGACCTAAAGCGGGCTACATGAAAAAGCAGCCCGACATCACAAACAGCATGAGGGCCATCCTGGTGGACTGGCTGGTCGAGGTGGGAGAAGAGTACAAGCTGCAGAACGAAACGCTTTACCTGGCCGTCAACTACATCGACCGCTTCCTGTCCTCCATGTCTGTGCTGAGGGGCAAACTTCAGCTGGTGGGGACGGCCGCCATGCTCCTGGCTTCGTATGTATTCCTATTCAGTCTGCTCACGTACTGGATTTTCTTTTGTCCAAGTTCAAGGTTTCAATTTTGTTTTCTTTTAATGCAGGAAATTTGAAGAGATCTACCCTCCTGAAGTGGCAGAGTTTGTTTACATCACAGACGACACCTACACCAAGAAGCAAGTGCTAAGAATGGAGCACTTGGTGCTCAAAGTGCTGTCCTTTGACCTGGCAGCGCCAACAATAAACCAGTTCCTCACTTATTACTTCTGCAACCAGGCTGTCGGCAAACGGGTGGAGAACCTGGCGATGGTGAGCCAAAAGCTGACGTTCGGGAGGGGGCGGCGCTAACTTCCAGTCCAAACGCTCAAATCTGTCTTTCAGTACCTCGGGGAGCTCAGTCTGGTCGACTCGGACCCCTTCCTGAAATACCTCCCATCACAGATGGCGGCAGCAGCCGTGACCCTGGCAAATCACACCGTGAACGGTGGCTCATGGGTAGGTTTTGGGTTAGTTTTGATTAATTTTAGACGATAGATTTGTGGTTCCTGACTAGGGATGTTCCCATCCAGCTTTTTGCACATCCGATCCCTGCCTATCGGAGCATGTGTTCAAGTTTAAAGTCATTTAGCCTACTTGTCAGACTCATGTCAAAAAGGGATTCACTATGACAACTTGATGATTAGGACACAGACCTGTGGGTTAGGAGATGCTAATGCTCGTGTGGGATCGGACTTTAGAAAAAAAATAAAAACTGGATCTGTATTTTCTCCTGCCGGAGACGAAAAATTTCTTTCTTTTTTTTTTTTTTTTTTGCAAAATATTCGATTGGGACAAGCCTAGTCCTGACTAGCTGCTGGAATAAATGCAACATTTTGGCTGTATGCTCTGAAGAGTTCAGTGGCTTGAACTAGCTCCCATTACTGGTAGTTGAGCTAAAGCGAGTACCTTATTCCCCTCAGCCCAAGTCCCTGGAGGAGATGACCGGCTACACGCTGGAGGACCTGCTGCCGTGCATCGGAGATCTTCACCAGACCTACCTGGGCGCGGCCCAGCACGCTCAGCAGTCCGTCCGGGAGAAGTACAAGGGCTCAAAGTGGGTTTCTCTTCAGACTCGACTGTCGTTTATTGGTGGAAAACGCTCATTATTTTCCCTTCTGTCGCAGGTACCTCGAAGTTTCGTCCGTTGACGCACCAGCAAAGCTGCTGTTGGTCTGACCCTGTTCCTCCAACGTAGAAGGGCACCGTCTGACTCTAACTTTTTTGTTTTTTGTGTGTAAATGATGTGCCACAGTTTGAACATACCCTGCTCCTTTTGGAGTAGCGGCAGATATTTTAGAAATTTTAATATTTTTATATTCTAAATCCCAGTGTTCATGTCAGGCCACTGCCGGTTTCTGGCTAATCAAGCAGTTTTTACACGTTTGACTTCTAATCGGACGAATCCAGAGGCCTGCTCGGCGCACGGACCTGATCTCCAGCTGAATGTACTCCGGAGACTGCAGCTATTCTCAGAGTCTGGTGGCAGTTACACTTTTTTTTTGTTTTTGTTTTTCCAGGGTGTAACATTTGACCTCTTAAGATGCAGATTAAAACCCGTTTGTCTGTCGGAGTCATCTGTCTCGTTACATCGGTGCCTTCTTTGAAGTGAATGACTTTTGAGGCATCATCTGCACTGTAAAATATGGCTCTTGTAAATAAACCCTTTAAAGTAAGACTCTGTGGTGCACCTTTTTCTTCAATCTGGCCTCATGAGGGCAGCAGAGGAAACGGATTCTGTCTAAAGGAAATTGAAGTCTCTTAAAAAAGCTTAAACTCTTTGGTCATGAAAAAATATGAATTTACATTTGGATGGTTTATGCCAAATATAGAAAATGTCCTGTACTATGCCTGACATATGAAAAGGGGCTAAATCAGGTTGGATTTTTATTTCTAGGTTTGTCTACAATGAATTAAATCACATCTTTTGGTGTCCAATCTGCACATGGATCTTCTTCACTTCACTTTCACTTTATTTTGGTAAATTTGGTCAATTGTCCACATTAAACACAAGAAACAACAAAAGAAAAAAGAAAATAACAATTGACAAACCCATCTGTGTGAATGTACTAACCAGTGAGCTGAAGGCAGCCAATGGCAGTGAGGGCTCCCTCTCCCTTCTCCTGATAAATAAGGAGGCTGGCTTTGTGTGTGTGTGTGTGTGTGTGTGGATCCTGATGGGAAGCAGAGCCTGGCCACGCTCAACAGGCTCCTGACTGCATCAGAGGGGATGGAGTAAGCTCTGAGGATGCCGTTTTGAACAATGGCTTCGACTCGTATCTGGATCTGGACGAGGATCCGTTCCCCGGCTGTTTGAGACTCATGCCGGCGCCCAGATCCTTCCTGGTGGCGTCCACCTCGCTGCCCCTGGCTCTGGGATGGGGCTGGAACCTGGGCTTGTACGTGGGGATGCTCCTGGGGCTCCTGCTGCTCATGGTCCTGCTCCTCTGGATGCTCTTCAGACAGCTGGGCAACTCGGTGGCCAAATCCATGCTGCAGCCCGCTCGCTCCCTCAGAACGCGCCGCTCTGACCAGAGATCAGAGCGCGTGCTGTGAAAAATGGAGAAAAAGCTGCCAGGACAAAGCTGGTCGGAGCACTTGACTGTACCTTTGCAGATTCATGTAAGGAAACCATTTGTTTTGGTCTCAAATGCTTAAAATGCTGCACAGAATGATAAACTCATATGTGCTTATGAATAGAAGGCACCATTCATTTATCTAACTTGTTTTGTTCTTGAGTAGCTGGGAAAGTATCATAAGCCGTCCCTGTTTGTGTAGCCAATAAGACAGAGTTACAACACAAGCCGGGATCGAATCTGCATTTTGATTCCCAGAGATTAAAGCAACGCTTTCAAGGGAGCAATTTGCACTCCTCTCATCTCATTGGCAACTCGGTGGTGGATGTGAAAAAAAAAAGGGGCCGTCTTTAGCTCTAAACTCCTGCATACCTGCTGCTGTGCTGTAAACAGGCAAAAAGGATCCAAGTTTGTCTCAGCATTTGTTTGTAGATGTGTCTGAGAGCGGTTAATCTTTGCTGCTGTCTTAAATCATTAGTCCCCAAAGGGATCAATAGTTTCCTCGACTTCAGGGCAAATCATATAACCTCGACATCTGATTTCCTTACAGAGCCTAATCATTCAACCATCTCTCGTCTGAAATGATGCCATGTCACGTCAGTTTTCTCAATCAATAGCACATTGTTTTCCAGGGAGCCAGGTTTGAAAGAGATGGTTCGGTCTAAAGATAAACACCTCTCATTGTTTTGTAGATGGCCCCAAAGGAAATGGCTCAAATCTCCAGAGAGCAAATATACATATGTGACAGGTGAAGCAATTTTCTCATCCAGCGTTCAGCAGGAAAGTGAATAAAAAGCATGTTTCCCGTGATGTTAAATGATTGGAGGGAGCATTTTCCCTCTGGGATTTTCGATAGTGAGACGGGTAAAACTTCATTTCTCAGCACAGTGCCGGCGATTCTTCTGGGATTCATCTTCAACATGTTCACTCTGAGGTTATTTCCCACCGACGACAGTCTGCTTATCTGGGCCCCTCAGCAGGAGACCTGTAGATTAAAGCAGCATGGATCCCCGTGAGGGGATATTTCCACCGGGGCTGTTTCTATGTGTGGCCCTAATGCCCTCAGCAAAGCAAAACTATATCCCAGCACCTTCCGCAAATCTTTACTTATTCATGACTTAGCAAACAGCAGAACCATCCATCTTCTGATGGCTGGAAAAAACAAACCCATGCTGTACGTAAATCTAGGAAATGAATGGTAGTTTAAACAAAGGGTTAAATGCTCAGCTGAGATCCAGCTGCACAAAATAAAACCACTTAAATTAAACCAGCTTCTCCATATTAGTGTGGTTTTGCATACATTGGCAAGCGAAGCATCCTATAAGACACCAAACCTGCAATTAGCACCACAACAACAATAAAAAACAGCTTATTTGTTGTAAAACTATTCAAGCTAAAGTTTTGCTTCAATCTTTACGAAGAAAAATGTACCCATGCTATCCTTCTGTTACAAAGTCCACACAGACAGCTGTGGAAATTCAAAATTTCTCGTATGAATTTTATTGATCATGATCCATCCAACCAAAGGAAAACTCAGTTTTAAGGAGACTGATACTAAAGAACCATTATGTCCAAATAGTCCAAACTCTGTGTCCGAAGGTCTTAATCTCCAAAATATGAATGGATTGTCTGCTTATTGTCTTCTTACAGTTATGAAGCCAAATCGAACCCATTTCTCTGAGGCATGAGAGCAGCTGAAGTCCGAGTGTTGACCATCCAGAGACATGAAAGCACCGGTCAGCAGTTTTCTGGATGCAGGATGTGGATCCTCAGCTATTCATCATCAAGCCACGTTTATTTTGAGATTCAAATTTCATTAAGGTTCTCTGCAACCTTTCAGATTTTACTCTGCAAATTAAATGGATCCATTTTGAAAGCAGCCGTCATCTGCATTTGTCTAATTATTTTGGCTGTAAAAGTCAGAAATGTGACTCGTTTGTGGAATCAGGAGTCAGATAATCTGTTTGTGCAAAATGTTTGTTGACAGTTCAGAGACTGGCGCCCTCCATGTTAGTCCAGTGCTTTTAAATACATCCCATTTCTTGTGTTAGCAACAGAGCTAGCATTTTGTTTTAGCCCCGCAGAAGACTTGCATCAATGAAAATATCCAAATAATTTCAACTATCCAGAGCAGAAGCTTCTCTATTGATTCTACAGTACATGAATTCATTTTAGGATTCATTTGAAGATTTATCACATAAGTGAAAAACTTCCCATATCATGTGATATGATGGCTAATTAGCACCTCGCGTGTTCATTTTTGCAAATGTTAGCATACAAAATGACGCCTTTCAGTCAGTCAGATGTGAAATGAAACCGCTAGGTATTGAAACAGATCCTCCCAGGTGGAGTTCACACTCTCTTTGTCTCACACGTGTTGTCTTTGATTAAAGGGTTGCAGGCAGGAAAACAGCAGGAAGAAAATATAATGATCTTTCTCCCCATGTCAAGAACCCTCTGGTGTCCTGTTTGACAGTTTTTCCTGGAATTTCGCGTGAACAAAAAGCATGTTATTTAAGTCAATTATGGAGCGGACAGATGAAAAGCAGCACCAGAGTTAAATGACAAGCTCATTATACATTATTCAGAAGAACAGCAACCCTCGCCAGGCTTTCATCCATCACGCTGGAGTAATTATACCCCAGCATATTGATCACTTCTAGACATTTGATTATAAGGTGTAACCAGGCCTACGAGTGGTAGTTTAATGTGCCTTGCTCATTGGGATCTTACTTTTAAAACATACAAGTTAGATTTTTTTCTACTTTTTTACAATTTTTTAGAAGGCTTTCCTGTACATAGATTATACATCAATATAATTTGACTGTAGTTAGATTTAGCCATTCATCATCTTCTGGTATTTTTTGTTAGTTTTTCCAAAATATTTAGCTAAAAGTCATATTTCCTTCCATCTTAATAAGGTCACGTGTTTGTTAGTGGTGCTGCTGTACACATGATAGCATCCGCTGTCAGCAAAAAAAAAAACTGTGGGGCACTTCGGAGAAACATTTAAGCATCATTGCTTCCTAAAGGTGACACAAAGGCTCCTGGATGCGTGAGGTCACGATCTCCCGTTTCACGGTGAGCGAGTGAAAGGCAACACTGAGGAGCCCAGGAAGACTCAGAGCTGCGCGGTGAGAAAAACAAAGCTGCTTTTTAGTAACTCTTGATGCTAAAAAGAAACTGTGGGAACGTTTTTAGACGGGCTCACCAGCCAGGATATTGTTAAAACCTGATCATTTTTCTTGCAGTTTGAAGCAATCGCTCCAGCCCTTCTTCAGGACAAAGATGGTAAGTGTTTATTTTCTTTACACTTAAGTCTCCAAAAAGGTGATGAGGGGTTTGTGAAGTGCACACCGAACTTACTATGGGTACGTTTTAGTCACACAAAGAGACGTATAAAGTACTGGAGTAGAAGTACAAGCACTATATATAAAAATTGACTTGAGTAAAAGTTGAAGTGTTCTTTCAACACCATAATTAAGTGGAAGTACAGAAGTACCCAATTTTTTTTTTACTTAAGTATTGCAAGTAGAAGTATTTAAAAAATTTCTAGTCAAGTATCGAAAGTACAAGTATAAGTAAAAGTACTGTGTATATTAAAAAAAGGCAGTCAAAAGTTTGATAGATATTGTTTATATTATTTCAAACGTGTGAAAGGCCATACAGGTGTTTACAAAAAACAGAAAATAAAACATCTCAAAAGGCCAGAGGGGCGAGTTAAGCCTGGTGGTAAAACCTTAAAATGGAAATAAAGCATCAACATGAGGCATCAAGCTCTTCCATCTCACATACAATTTTGCAATCTTTCGAGAGGCTTTTTTTTAATAGGCTATGCTTGATGGCTCAAATCGGCCAATGAGGAGCCAGCTTCCCAAACCTTGACAGAGCCATCTATCATTACGTTTAGATATCAGTAACGAGTAACGATTCAGCCCGTGAAAGTAAAAGTTAAAGTATTAAATTGATAAAAAATATGTAGTAGAGTAAAAGTAAAAGTAGCGAAAAAATATCTACTCCAATAAAGTCCAGATACTGCATTTTGGTACTTAAGTAGTTCTACTTCGTTATTGTTCATCTCTGGTCACACGGCAGGACTAACCTTTATGTGACTAATGAGGTGGACCAGGTCTCCTTAAAGGTCAGAACCTCTCCAAACCAGTCGTACACACAACCTTTCACAGAAATCACCAGCGTTTGATTTGCAAACGACTCAAAACGTATTTTTATTTCATATAAAGGCGTTCTCTAATATCCAGTTCCCTGCAATAGCTATGAATTCGGTTAGGGTGTCAGATGTAGGTGATCCTTCTGTCCCTGAAAGGACTTTCTACGAAGACGTCCTCATTAGTAAAACATCAGAGTGTGTGGGGAAGTGTGCTCACATTAACACGGAAAGAGAGGGAGAAGGTTCATCTGATAGCCTTCATTTGATTTGATTTGACTTGATCTCCCTCGGCTTGTTGAGGTTTCAGATTTTCTGATGAAGAGGAGTGGTACGAATTGCTTCATTTGAGGATAGTACTCTAATTTACGCCATATTGTGTTACCGTGTGCACAGAAAATGTAGGTGCTTGTGTCTGTCGACTCTCCTGTGGAGTTACAATCTCACCAGCACTTTGTAGACAATGAAGCTTAATCGCATTTCGACTGGAAAACCAGTCGAGCCATTTTTCTGACCACTTGGATCGAAAGAAAACGTTCAGACTTTTGCTTTTGCTTTGATTGATTCATTGTTAAATACAATACCCAAATCGCTCAATGGTAATTCATTATTGATTAGTCTCTAATCAAAATCTGCTTGAACCGTAGGACAAATTAAAAGTCTAAACGCTTAACAAGAAGTCTAAAAGGAGTGTTGTGGAAATTCTGAAGCTAAAGTCTGAGTCCGTTTAAGAGAATAGGAGATGGAAAATGTATTAAAGGGAAAACTTCATGAAGTGAAAGCAACCATCTATGCAACGCATCAAGATGCTCCAAAGTAAAACAAAATCATAGAGCATTTTATACCAGTCTGAGTCTTCATTCTGCATCTGTATTAAACAATCCTCAAGAATTAGACAAAATATGAGGAGGACCTCTCTTAGACTTTAAAGGGGGAAAGGACCTTTAACCCTGTAATGCCAAACGTATCATATTTGATACATAAGGTTTCTGAAATGTTTTGCGTCTGACACCTTTTGCATAATTTAATGGTAAAAACTTTGCTCAAAATCCTATTGTACACAATCAGATACACCTGATAACAGGGGGCAGAAGACTACACAAAAAATAATCTTGACCTATCGCATAGTAATAAATTATTAATATTAAAAATGTATTTTTGTTTTTTCTTTTTACGTATTTTGTTAAAAGGCCAAATATAGACTTAAAACAAAAAAAGGTACGTTTCTGTTTTGTTTTATTCTTGGATCGGGCTTTAAAGTCTTAAAATACTCAATTGTGGAAATGTACAAGAAAGAATAAAATAGAAAAGAAATAGAATAGAATAGAATAGAAAAGAAGAATAGAAAAGAAAATGATCATACATATATGAACCTGAACGGAGGTTCAGTTACAGATATTTTTTAAAGACTATCTGAGCTGGATGTAGGATCTCTGGTCCCAGTTACAGCGTTTAGGGCAGAATTCAGCCTTCGTTGGTGGCCAGATATGAACAAAATGTCAACAGCTTTCTTTTCTCATTGGTCTGGAGCTCCAAAGTGGCGGAGAACCAAACGGTTGATCGTAACAAAGCCCTTACGTTTCCTCACCTGTGAGCCACACCGACCCAGTTTATGTATTTCCTCACGTCTTGTTACCCGGTGATTACATTTAACTTAAAGGGAAGACGAGGGAGTGGGCAGATGATGTTGCTTTGCACTTCCTTTCCTTTTTGCTGAGGTAAACCATCTTTTATTTATCTCCCAATAAATGACACGTCACCTGCATTGCAAACCTCCACACCTGTGAGTGGGATGTTTAATATCTATTTAATATCTATTTAATATCTATTTAATATCTATTT